AGCCTGACAAAGGGATTCGACTTGGTCTGTTTGGCTCCTAAGGACAGAACCAGGAATGATGGTGAGAATCTGCAGAGAAGGTTGAGGTCTGCTATCAGAAAACACTTTCCAACAACAAAACCTTCCTAAAGAAGCACTAGGGGCCTCAAAGCTCAACCATCAGCTGGGCGCCAGCTAAAACAAATGGGAGGTTTCACCTCACACCTAGCAATGTGGCAAGGATGACAGAAGAGTCGGTGCTGGAGAGGCTGTGGAGACCAAACACAATGGCAGGAGAGATTCCTGGTCAGGAATGTATGGAAGTCCATAGCTGCACAGGCCCCTGCCCAGGCTGGAAACTCCGTGAAACTTCTGGATAAATAAAACCCTGTGACAGAGCTCTGTTCCAGAAGAGTCCACTTATAAACGGGCTGATCGTATACTTTAGCTGTCCTCAGGGGTCAAGTCACTGGCTGTCAAACACACTAAATGGCCTCCCCCTCAAGTGCCTTCTTCGCTTTTTGTCCACATATACACGCGTAATTCATAACCAGGATTACAGAAATCACAAGCCCTCTACGTGGGACTTCACAGCTGACAAAGTCCTTCCTTCGCAGCCCACTGTGGGTAGTGTGAGGATTTGTACACTCCTTTTACAAAGGAGCAAACAGGGGCTTCTGCAAGTTGAAGCTCTGTGTCCAATGTGAGGACAGCAGGTGTGTAAGCAAGGTCTCCAGAGTGAGTCCAGTGCCCTTTAGAAAGCTGTTGCTCTCTGAGTTTTACACACCAGGCATTGTCCTATAAAGCCTTCGAACTCAACACCACCTTTCTCTAACCTGGCCTTATATAAGACAAAGACAACAAAAGCCAAAAGAACCAGCCCTGGCAGCACACACAACACAGAACTCACAATGCCTCAGCTCCACCAAGATAAGGAAGTCCTGGTCATCACTCCTCCACAGTAACTTAGCTTGGTCTTGGCGTTTCATCTGAGTTCTAACATCACTGACAGAACAACTGGTTCTCCTTCCTGTACTCTGCACTGGCTCACGCTAATCTTCTCATGTTTCTCTGATGTTTTCTATCACTCTGCCAACTTGACAGGAGTGAAGTGAAAAAAAAAAAACCTCAGCTGTTATATCAAAACTTTTAAAATTTGCATTCCTCTCATTTTCAGTGATATGGAACACCTGTTTCATAGGGCGGTTGCTAGTTTGCATTTCTTCTGAAAATCGTTCCTTCTTTGACCTCAGGTCATCTCTCCACACCACTATTCACCTTTGTATATGTCTCAAACCAACTGGATCTCAAACCAGCAATAAGCCCTCCCCACGCCATCCTGTTTCTCCCATCCAGGGCTCTAGACTGTGCATGTATTACCCCATGCACTTAATATGTTATCATTGCATGAATGAATATATACAGCAAAAGGCAGTAAAACTCAACAAATGATCGAGTAATATCTTAACAAGCCACGCACTGGTGAGGGCACAAAGACAAATACCAAACTATTCCTTCCCTCCAGGCACTGATGGGGGTGTCCCCCCCACCCCAGGGAATAAAGAAGTCAATCAATATTTATTAAGCACCTACTATGTGCAGGCCCTGTGTGAAAGGCTTCACTGGATTCTCATGAAGAAAACCCTGGGAGGGAGGTGCTGCTACTGCCTCCATTTTACATTTGAGGAAACTGAGGCTAGGAGGTAAAGAGACAGATACACAGAAGTCAGAATCAAGCCAGTACAGTGGAACTGTGGAGGACACAAAGAGGCCGATGCCTTGAGAAGAGGCACAGAAGCGAAGCTTCCCCAAAGGCCTCCCTCCAGGAGAAGTATGTGTGCCACTGGTTTGTTGGCTGGCGAGGTGGTAATTCATCCTTCCCACCCACATCAGCAACTTCGGAAGCTTGCAAGAGAGGAAAGCCTTATAGCCACTTAACAACAAAAAAATTAATCCACACAAAATGCTCTCTTACCCACTGCTCCGAGAAAATAACGTTAAGTGTTGCTAGCTTTAAAAGGTCATTTCTTTTTTGTTTTGCTTTAAAGGCAGTGAATGCAGGGGCAGCTGGGTGGCACAGTGGGTAGGGCACCGGCCCTGAAGTCAGGAGGACCTGAGTTCAAATCCAGCCCCAGACCAAACACCTGACACTTACTAGCTGTGGGACCCTGGGGAGGCACTTAAACCCCACCGGCTTAAAAAAAAAAAAAAAAAAAAGAAAGAAAAAAAAACCCGAAAGAACAAACAAACAAAAAAATAAAGGCAGTGAATGCAAAGTTTATGAAAAGGAAAGTCCTCAGGTTTGCTATTTGTCAAATGAGAGCTTAGACAGGACCTCTATGGTCCCTTTTCCAGTTTCTAGGATTCTCTGATTTCTGTTCTTACCTACAATATGTCTGAGGCATGTGATCATTTGATGAGGATAAGGAATGATAAGAGGTTCTAGACTCCAGCAGCCCAAATGTGATCCCCTCTCTAGCAACTGGGAAAGTTTATCAACAAAGAGAAATGGTTGAGACCTCAGGCAGCTGTGGGCCCCTTCATCATTCTGGAGGGCCCTGCAGCCAGGGCTGATCCCAGTGCTCACCTCCTGGGACCCATTCGCATGAGGCAGGTATGGCTCCCACAGCATTCCTGACCGAGAGGCACCCACAATCCAGAGGCCAGCAGAGGGTAGGCCATGGCACCACATGGCACTATGTGCTCCACCAATCCACCTGCCCAGACCACTCCGTCAGTGACCGCAAGTCAGGTCAGAAGCCACACAGGAAACCAATCCAGGATGCACCAGAGTGTGACTCACTTTGCAAAGAAACCTTTGTTAGGGTTGGGGTAGCTGTGTAGACCACCAAGCCTGGTCACAGGGCCTCCAGAAACCAGGGTGGCTGCTGACTGGAGGAGCTTTCTAATAGATATCCCAGAGGCTAAGACGCAGCTTTTACTCTTTGCCCTCACGAGGGGCTCTCCGAACAAACAGCAGCCTCTTCTTGACCCCATTTTGTTCTTTCAAGTTTTCTTTCCAATCCCACTATTCCTGTCTTCTCCATCTTAATCACTGCAGGGTCGCAGTAAGTATCTGTCTAAAGAGGAAGCAGGGGCTTGTTCTCATTCTAGCCAGAAGGCGCTAGGTAATCCCAACTGGACACAGCAAAGATGCTGGATGCCAGCTGGGGGGGAGGGAAAGGGGACTGAAAATCAGGGAGGGAGTAGTCCCGGCCAAGCTTGAAACCTCTGCTCTGTCCCTGCCTCAGACCAGACTGTCCCCCAGGCCCTCTCACCTCGGCCCTGGTCTATCTCCCTCCGCGGCTCAGTACAAGGGCCAGACCTTCCCTGATTGCTCAGGAGTTAACATTCCTCCCTACAACCCCATCTTCCATTTTACTTTGTGCACACTCGTGGGTGTGTGTGTGTGGGTGTGCGCGCGCGTGTGTGTCTAAAATATTTAGTTGGTATGAGATTTTCCCAGCTCACTCCTCCTTGGTAGAGACGGGAGACAAATATTGCACACTGTACCTGTCTTCAGACTTTTTCAAAGTATTGATCAGCTGTCTGATTTTCCTTCTTTCTGTCTTTAAAAAATCATTTTGTGTTATGTGGGATGGCTCTCTGGGAGGGGGACAAATGGAGGGAAAACTATGCTGATGCAAGAAAAAAAGATATCGCTAAACCTTATTTAAAACAAGGATTTCTCTGCGTACATGTTGTTCCTTCCCAGCCCCCGCCCTCTGAAGAACAGAAATGCCCTGAGAGCAGGGACCATCACCCTTGCACGTGGAAGAGCTGCTACTATGTTCGCAGATACCAGGACACAGCAGCTACACTGAATGGGGAGACGGGGGACGTCTTGGCAGTGCTCTCGGGAAGGACAGTCGGAGAGGCCCTTAGAAGTCCAAGGAGCTGGAGCCCAAGGCCAAAGCCAATCAACACCCTAACAGCAAGTACAGCCTGGGGATGGGCATTTAGGGACCAGGGGCACTTTAAGCCTACAAGATCCCATTTCTGTAGTGCCAGAGTCACAACAGGCCTGGGAAAAAGGGAGAAGATACAAGTAGTTATCACAGCCCCACTTTATAGTTGGGGAAACTGAGGCTCAGAGGATCAAAAAGTTCTGCCTTTTGATGCAAGCTCCAACACTTATTAGCTCTGTACTAATTACACCACCTTCCTCCCAGAACTGTTGTGAGGAAAGTGGTTTAAATTTAAAAAGCACATTTTTATTGATAGGGTCTGTTTTTGTATCATCTACAACATTTCTGGGCACATAGGTGGCACGGCAGATAGAGTGGTACGCCTGGAGTCAGGAAGACTCATCTTCCTGATTCCAATCTGGCCTCAGATACTTGCTAGCTATGTGACCTTGGACAAGTCACTTCACGCTGTTTGCTTCAGTTTCCTCATCTACAAAATGAGCTGGAGAAGGAGATGGCAAAGCACTCCAATATCTCTGCCAAGAAAACCCCAAATTGGGTCATGAAGAGTCAGACACGACTGAAAAATGGCTCAACAACGGCATTTTCTCTCCCTTATAACCAAGAATTTAAAAAAAAAAAAGAGTTCTCAAAAGCAGTTCTGGGAAACTACCCTGATGCCATGAGTCTGGCATTTCTGAAGTGTCCCACCCCTAAACTGAGAAAAGCCCATCACGTCCTAACCTGAAAATGCCCCAGCCACAGACGGAAAGGACTCCTCCCTCCTTCACATCTGCTCCTCCTGATAAAGGAATGGCCCGTTGGATGAACTCTGAAACCCAGAATAAAACACCCCCTGGGAAGCAGGTGACATCTGCAATATGCCCGTGATTCTGGGACCATCTGCTGCCGGCGCACAGCCCCCAAGACCCCCCAAGCCTGGCCACCGGCCTCCTCCCCATGAGAATGTGAGCTCCGGGCAGCTGGGACTAGCCAGGAAGTCCGGCCCCCTTATGTCCCAGCGCTAAGCACACAGTAAGTACTTCATGACTGCTTTTGATGCACTCGCTCCCGGAGTTCGGAATTCAGAACTCTTGCGGGCTGGTCTCTTACCTGGCACGAGCTGCACGCTCCTTCAGTAGCCGCTGGGGCAGGCTCCCCCTGGCCTTCTGCCAATCCCTCCTGGGGGGCTCTCAGAGCTCTCCCCTCCTGCTCCTGCTCCGCTCTCTCTTTCGCATGGACTCCTGAAGCCGCAAGGTCTCCAGCTGCACAGCCGGCGGCCAGGCCACAACGCCCCGCCTCTTCCCCATCACCCATGGGGTCAGCGTCTTGACGGCAATTTTCCACATGAGTTCTCTGGGGTTCTAAAGGCAAAGTCCGCACCAAGGAGCTCGAGGCTTCAGGTTCTGCAACTGGAATAACACTTGGCTCAAATTCTGCAGCAAGCTCCGGGGAGACGCTTACTGGAAGTTCCGTGTACAACTCCTGCGCCCCTGCAGACATGGGGGAATCAAGAGGTACTGGCTGCGTCTCCACGCCAGATGACAGCATGAGGCCTGCTGAGGACGCTGGGTTCCAGTTTATCGATCCAGATGGTTCACCCTGGCATGCACCAAAAAAGGGGAAAACACAGGTAAGAAAAGACCCAAACAGTTAAATGATAAAGAGAATCAATTCCTACGTTATCATTAACTATGCCTACTCGGGACAGTAATCCTTAGAATTTACTGACAAAGAAAATAAACACGGTGTAAGCTATAGGATGAAGGAAGGCAGTTGTCTGATCTCAATCCAAAATACCCTCTTCCCTCAATTTAAGTATGAAGGCCAACAAACACAGAAGGGAGGATTACAACCGTAGAATTCTGTCCAATGATGTCATCTTGGAGAGGAGGAGACCGAGATGCAGAGACGAAGGCACCTGGCCAGGCTGACACGCGTACTAAGCACAGAATTTGAATTTGAACTCCGTACTTCTGACTACAAATCCAGCCCCTAACATAGTGGCTGGTACATAGTGGGCCCCATCTAAATCTGGGGACTTTGGGTCATGTTCCATAGTGGCAGAACCTTCTGGGAATAGTAATTCACATTTACATAGCACCTTAAGATTTACAAAGCACTTTACAAATGTCTCATTTGAGCGAGCCTCACAACCACCTTTTAAAGCTGGGGCTTTATTATCACCATTTTAGAGATGAGCAAACTGGGGCTCAGAAAAGATAAACGGCCTGCCCAGCGACACTTGGCTACTGAGCGTCTGAGGCTGGATCGTATTCCAGGTATCCCAAACTCCCAAGGCCAACTCTCTAACCAACTATTCCACCATTCTGCCTCCTAGGAAGGCCGCTGAGGAGCTGGAGTGTGTCCAGAGAAGGGTGACCAGGATGGGAAGGGCTCTGAGATCACGCCAAATGAAGAAATGAGGGCGATTTAGATTGGAGAAGAGAAGACTGGGAGATATTTTCCTTCTCTGCTTGGCCACACTGGAGCACTGGCACAAGTGGCCAAGAGCCTGTTTCCAGCTGGATTTCGGCAAACACGTGCTCACCAGATGAGGTGGATGGCTCCCCGGGCTGGACAGCTGCAAACAAAGACAGAGACGGCCCCCTGGTTGGTCACGGTGGAGAGGAGGGGCTTCGGCAGGGACGGATGGACCGCAGAGAGCAGGTCTGGGAACCAAGGAGGCCTGGATGCAAACCCTCCTTCTGATGTATACTGGCCATAAGCCCTAGCTCCTCAGCTTCAAAGGCGGCTAATACTCTCTGCAGTCCCTATCTCCCAGTTCAAAGGAGATGTATGAAGCGCGTTTCAAATTTTAAAGCAACTTTTAATTGATTTACTTATTGGCTGAGCTGATCTCATCAATCAATGGAGATGAGGAAACTCTCTCTACCAATACAACCTGCCAGCCTTCCAGCCCTTTAAGGAAAAGTGACCTGGGGCCTCTCAGTTCTCCTGACCACTCTATCACACTGCCTCTGGATGGAGTAGAGAATGCCAGGTACTTCTGATGGATGGGTGGTCTGAGGTCCCTTCCAACTCCTCATTTTCTTTGACTCTATGAAAACCACCTTTGACTACAAGAAGGGCTGTTTCGTGGAAAAGAGATGAGGGGGCAGCTAAGTGCCACAGTGGATAAGCTCCGGCCTTGGAGTCAGGAGGACCTAAGCTCAAATCCGGCCTCAGACACAGGACACTTACCAGACTTACCAGCTTTGTGACCCTGGGCAAGTCACTTAACCCTGACTGCCTCACCAAAAAAAAAAAAAAAAAAAAAAGAAGAAGAAGAAAAAAGAAAAAAAGAAAGAAAGAAAGAAAAGAGATAAGACTCACTGCCACTAGGTTCTGGTGTGCGTCTGTAGTTCCCCTGGTGAGGAAAACCCTCGCTCCAAGCAGCCCGCCCCTGCTGGCTCTGTGCTCTGAGAGGGAGGGGAAGGTAGCTGTTTCACTTCTGCCTGTGTAAGCTCCTTGCCCAGCCCAGGGACACAGAGCAGGCCCCAGATGAACAACAACAGAGGCCTGGCCTGGGGGTACAAGGCTTGACCGCCAGGCTTTCCAGACACAGCTCTAAGGAGAACCATCCAAAAGCGAAAAGCGAGTCAAGGTGTCTCCATCATGGAGCTGAGCTGGAAGGGGCCTCAGGGCCCTCATTCTGCAGAGAAGACTGAAGTCCACCGCCAAAGCAAAGGGACAGGCCCAAGGCCACACAGGCAGCGTCAGAGGCAGGACTCAAGGAGAGGCCTCTGATGCCGAAGCCTGCATGCCTTCCCTTGGGCACTGCTCCTCTAGCCTAAATACTGGCACAAAGTAATGACAAACAAAAGCAGATATTCATTACGATCAAGGAGGATTTAACCAGAATTGTTAAGTATGGTTCAATCTGGATGAGCACTAGTGGGAATGCTCTTAAGGGGATTCACGCTTGAGGCTGGGACTGGACCAAGCATCAAGTGTTGACTGTGGGCTGGGGATACAGATATGAGGACACAAAGGACAGACAGAGTGTCTGAAGAACTATGGACAGAGGTTCACAATATGGTGCAAACGAAAGCAACAAAAAACATCCCAAAGAAAAGGAACAGCAAGAAAGTAAAATGGCGGTCTGATGAGGCTTTGCAAAGAGCTGAGGAAAGAAGGAAAGAGAAAGGGAAAAGGGAAAGATACACATACCCAGCTGAATGCAGAATTCCAGAACTGCAAGGAGAGATAACGGTTTTCTAACATGAGCAATGCAAAGAAATAGAAGAAAACAACAGAATGGGAAAGACAAAAGATCTCAAGAAAATGAGAGATGTCAAGGGAATGTTTCATGAAAAAATGGGCATGATAAAAGACAAAAATGATTAAGTACAAGAGATTAAGAAGAATACACCAAAGAATTCTACCAGAAAGCTATTAACATCCCTAATAACCACAATGGAGTGGTTACTGATCTAGAGCCTGGAAAAGGAAGTCAAGTGGGCCTTAGGAAGCATTGCTAACAATAAGGCTAGTGGAGGTGACGGAATTCCAGCTGAGCTATTTAAAACCCTAAAAGATGATGCTGTTAAAGTACCGCACTCAATATGACGGCGACTTTGGAAACTCAACGGTGGCCACTGGATTGGAAAAGATCAGTTTACGTCCCAACCCTAGAGAAGGGCAATGCCAAGGAATGTTAAAATCACCGAACAATTGCCCTCATTTCACATGCCCGCAAGGTTATGCTTAAGATTCTGCAAGCTAGGCTTCAGCAATACGTGAACCAAGAATTACCAGAAGAGCAGGCTGGTTTTCAAAGAGGCAGGGGAACTAGAGAAGAGACTGCCAACATCCGCTGGACTAGGGAGGAAGCAAGGGAGCTCCAGAAAAACATCCACCTCTGCTTCATGGACAACACTAAGCCTTAGATTGTATGAATCACAACAAAACGTGGCAAGTCCTCAAAGAGACGGGGGACCAGATCATCTGACTTGTCTCCTGAGGAACTTGTACGTGGGCCAAGAAAAAAGTTAGAACCAACCATGGAACAGCTGATTGGTTTTAAGATTGGAAAAGGAGTATGACAAGGCTGTGTATTGTCACCTTATTTATTTCACTTATATGCAGAGCACAGCATGCAAAATGCCAGGCTGGATGAGACAAAAGCCGGAATTAAGGTTGCCAGGAGAAATATCAACAATCTCAGATGTGGCTAGATGATACCACTCTGAAGACAAAAAGTGGAGAGGAATTAAGAAGCCCTCTGGATGAGGGTGAAAGAGGAGAGCACAAAAGCTGGCTTGAGGCTTACCATCAAAAAAACTAAGGTCCTCTCGGAGACCACTGGTTACTTTCTGAAAATGCCCCCCAAGTCCTATCTATTCATGCCTCTCTCCCCCAAAGTGTCTATCTGGACAGACTTCAAAGGTGCCTAGTAAGCCGATTTCATTCTCCAGCCCCTCCTCTATGCAATTCTTAGCACTATGGCTAACTCCCCTGCCTCCCAACCAGAAGAAACAAACAGACTGGCCTTTCCTTCTTGACCTGTGATGAATGGGAGTTGGGATGCCTGGTTCAAATCCTGGCCCTGCCAACTAAAATCAGAAAATTCCGAGCTGGAAGGGAAGGGCAGCTCGTGTAAAAGCCTCATGGGGAAGCTGGGGTTCAGGGTCACAGAATCCAAGGCCAGAAAGGAACACAGAGATTACCCAATACCTTTTTCTGACAGGTCAGGAAACTGAGGCTCACAGAGGTTAATAACTATTCCAAGAGCACAGGCTGTGGGAGCGGAACTCCTGAGTCCTTAAATCTTTTTACTAGATCATGCAACTCTGACAAACCATCCCTTCCCCCAAACCCCACCCCGCCATGATCAACTTAGTGTCCTTACTGGCAAGATGAGACTAATACCCAAAGGGCAACAGAAGCTACATGGTGGGTATAAGCAAGCTCCTGATAAGTGGCATAAAGGAGGAAAAAGGTCATCGAAGAAGATCAAGAGGCTGGTCACAGGGCAACACAGGACAACCGCCTCAGGGATGTCAGGGTTCCCATGAAATGTTTCAAGTCTGACAGGAAGGTGCCCAAGACCGACCGAGCAGGTCTCCAGGAGGCCTTCTGGAAGGGCAGCCAGGATGCGTTAGGAAGGCAACACCCACCCTAATGAAATCGCACACCCAATGACCTAGCCCAGGACCCCTCACAGAGTAGGCAAATCTGTGGCTTTCTGGACAAAGCGTTGAGTCCTGCCTTAGACCCATATAAGCTGCATGAGCCTGAGGCAACTGACTGAACCCCTCTGTGCCTCAGTTCCTTCACAGCACCTACCTAACAGGGTTGTTGTGAGGATCAAAAGCATTTTGCAAACCTTAAAGCTTGATATAAATGTGAGCTGTTATTCTGGGCATCAAATGACAATAGACTTTGGGATCATTAGGCATTATGCAAATGTAAGCAATTATTTTATAACTTGGGAATTTTGTGAACGTCACATCGAAATGCTTTGCACCCACATCATTCAAACCCTGCCCAAAGGCATTTCCAGCTGAAACCAGCACAACCCCAAACCTCATCTTATTACTATTATTACAAAGATTTTAAGACTGAGAAAACTGAAGTTGGAAAAGCGGTTTTTAGCTCCATTTAATAGTCACCGTTTCTGGCTGCTCAGATAAATCACGTTATCATCATATATGTGATAACGCCAAGGGACAGAATTAGGAGGCCAGTTACTCTGGATCACATAGCAAGCTGAAGAGCAAACTCTCTTGGAGAAACTTTAATTTAAACTGTTAAAAAAAAAAAAAAAAAAAAAAGAATCTGCCCCTGGCCCTTCACCTTGAGGATGCCACCCACAATTCTCCTACCAGTGGCAGTTTTGTTCTGGGCCATCCCCGTTCTCTCTGGCAGTGCCCCTGGGGGCGCCTAGGACACCACAAGGGAGTGCGAGGTCTCCACTTTAGGATTCCCTCCCTCACTCTGCAAGGGCCCCAGACACTGGATTGGGAATCTGAGGTCCACAGCTTACCTCCTGTCCCTATTCTCACTTCCTTTCCACCCGGTCTGTCTCATCCTCTTTCTGGGCCTCTGTTTCCCTTTCTGTAAAGCAAGGCTCTGCATCTGGGATCCTTCGACCTGTGCTCTGCTCCTGTTGCTTATTCCCTACAAAGTGGCTTCATCTGATCACCCCTTTCGTGTTTCTAAGCTTTTTCCCTTATATAGTCAGACACGGTTTTCATCCAGGTCGGGCTTCCAGCAACCCCAACCACCTGGAATGTAGCCAGGAGCCTTCTTCTGGCGGGCAGAGGCGCACTCTGCTTCCCCTGCTTTGGTCATTACTACTAAACATTAAGCTGAGATTACAAACGATTCTAACAGGTTAATCATTGACTTCAGGGTGAGACGCTTTGATGGCTGCTGCAGGCAGGCCTAAAGACAAAGAAAGAATATCAGGAGAAGACAGAAGCAGCAAAAAAAACCCAAAAACCCCCGTGGCTCCAGGCCAGCTGCAGAGCTATGGTCAGGGACACCAAGCTCCTAGATCAAAAGTCACCAGACCCTGAGGGTCTCCCAAACCAATTTAACTAGATGTTCCTAAGAATAACCACTATGGTGGCTGAG